CATATCAGGTTAGCACTGGAGTCGTGGTAAACTCCCGTTTTTTTTTCACTGGAGTGGAAATAAAGGAGAAAGATGTGCACCTTTTCCCCTGTCTGCACTCTTCACCTGGCTAAATCTGTTTCGAAGTGGGATGTGGGAAATATCATGCGCTTCTTTTTTAAAGGGGCTGTTAGATCAGCAGGAGCGGATACAGGGAAATCTGCAATGGGCCTTTAGCATCAAGAGTTTGGTGAGATTCAGGTTCTACCCACCAAACAGATTCCCAGGTTGCCCCTGAGGGAGAGCCGGAGGGAGAGCGCAGGATCCACTAAAGAGGCTTCTGCAGAAGGGAGTAGGACAAGCCTGCCTTCGACTAGAACATAAGACTCCTCAAGAACAGAGTTTTCCTGCTGTCCATCAGCAGCCTCTTTATATCCCACGCTAGCCCCCTCCCCGTGTAGTGAAGCCCCTCTCAGTTGTCAGGTATGAATTCGGAATCAGAAAAATTAGAAAACTCTATCTAATTCCAGAATTCTTCTGAACAGGAAAGAACGCTGTGAAGGAAGGTTCAGTGGGAAACTTGCCGACTGGAGGGCGGGGAAAGAAAATGGGTCTTCCATTGAAACCGAAGGCAAAACGCCCTTGTGAATCCGGCTCGCTCTTGCGTAGCAATTGTTCCTCAAAAGCATTCAATAAATCTCCACTGAAATCGAGCGGGGGGGGGGGGCGGGGGAGGGGGGGGAGGGGAGGGGGACCCCGGCCCCCGAAATTTGTCCAAGCCAGATTCACCAACTTTCCGACAACAAAACAAAACCAAAAAGACTTCTGCAATCTGTTGAACTTGTTTTACCAACCCGATTCCGCGCCACCTGCCTGATGACCTCCATCAGAAGCGGCCTTTAACTTTCGCCTGACAGCGGAGAAGAGGCTTGGAGCAGGAGAAGAATGCAAGCCGAAAGGCCGCTGAAATGAGTGGCAATGATTTCCTATTCAAAAGTCTCGAACAAGGAGTAGAAGGGAACTGCAGTTTAAGAGAGAATCGAGATTTCAGCATCTTCAAAGTATCTGAGTGGGTGGGGCTGGGGGGGAGCAGGGGAGCATTATAACTGAGAATTTAAGAAGGAAAAAAAAAGGATCCGGAATGACAGCTCGCTCCTCTTTCAACACCCCGTCCCTAAGCACATTTAGCTGGGGAAAAAATCCCGTGGCATTTACAGCCAGATATTAAGGATGCCTAAAAAACTCCGTAAGGTTTACTCTGAAATAAATCCGCAGAGCATTGAAACTATAAGAAAGCTGTAAACATGCTCCACACACGCACACGCACACCGGCTGACGGTGGACTCGATCTTTTACAATGGGGCTACTCTGGATTGGACCCCGAAATGCCGATCGGGAATATAAATCTTACGGAACTGAAAGTGGCAACTCCTGAGCAAACGACCCTCCCTTGCTATTGAAATCATAGTGACCTCCTCCTGTCCGTTTTGAGGCGCCTTCTTCCTCTCCCCAATACTCCTCTTCCCCTCCCCCACAAATCCATACCGACTGCGTTGGCAGGACTGAACCAGGATTTACTCAATTAACCCAATCGTTTTGGATTCACACGACTCGCTGAACCATCAACTCACCACGCTGGCTGGATTCCCATGGCCCTAGTCTCAAATGTGGTTGGCTGGTTCGGGATTCAGTGGGTCGTGGGAACGCAGCCACTCTT